AGCCAGCTGGTCTGAGCCCTGCAGGTGCTGCCCAAAGAGCCATGGGCTTGCCATTGGAGGGGACACAATGGGAACTCGGTCACCCTAGGACTGGATGATGAGCTGGTGTTTGCTGTCTGGTTACTGTGTCCAGATGTAGAGCCTTCAGTATAGGAAAAACATGGACCTGGTAGAGTGAGTCCAGAGGAGGGCCTCAAAAATGACCAGAAGGATGAAACATCTCCCTGCAAGGACAGGATGAAAGCTGGCGCTGTGCAGTTTGGAGAAGAGGAGGCTCTGGGGAGGCCTGTCAGTGTCTGATGAGTCTTTAAGAAAGAGTTGAACAGGGTCTATGTGATAGGACAGGGGGAATTGGTTTCAAACTTAGAAACAGATTTAGACTGGGTAAAAGGAAGAAGTTTGTATAATAAGAATGATGAAGCAATGTGTGTGGTGCCCAGAGGTGGTGGTGGTGCTCCATACCTGCAGATAGCCAAGGTGAGGGGACGAGGCTGTGAGCACTGATGGAGCTGTGGGTGTCCCTGTGCACTGCAGGCAATTGGACTACATGACCTTTAAAGGTCCCTTCCAACTCAAGCAATTCTGTGATTCTAAGAGGACAGGAACCACCCTGTGTACCAGGACCTATCGTGTCTGAAAGGCTCGGTGTCTTGTGCATCGCCCCCAGCAAACCTGGCACACCAAAAAGCTGCATAGTGCCTACCATGATGGGTTTCCCTGCCCTCATCCCTCTTGTCTTGCAGTTCATCACGGAGGGCTACGCGGCCCACCTGGCCCAGCTGGAGTACAACCACCGCTCGCGCCCCGCCAAGAACACCACCCGCATGGCGCTGCGGAAGGGCAGCTTCGGGCTGCCCAGCCAGACTGAGTTCCTGCGCAAAAGGAACCACCTGCTGCGGACCATCTCCTCGCAGCCCTCCGCAGCCGGGGGCAGCGCCGGCCACCGCCCTGAGCGCACCCAGAGCCAATCCGACGGCGACAAGGAGAGGGACAGGGAACGCAGCCAAAGAAGTATGAGCATCGCCACGGGGTGCTGGGGCCGCAGCGCAGCGTCCCGCCTGGAGTCTGGCCTCCTGGGGCAGAAGTAGCCGAGCCAGAGCCAGCGACTGTCGGCTGCAGCCACCGGAGGAGAGAACAAAAGGAAAGAGGGATGAGGCCGGCGTTAACGTGGAAGGGTAAATATGGTGCTACTCTCATAACATCGTGGTATTCTGGGAAGAGATGGGATGTTTCCCACACAGAACGTGCAGGCCTTGCAAGCGGGAGCGTCAGGTTTGTACGGCATGAGCTCAAGGAACAGCTGGAAATTGGAGGGGAAAGTCTCCAGGTCAAGATTGTGCTCTTTCCTGCCTCCTTCTCTTATCCAGGTATAGTGACTGTAAATACGTGCCTCCTCACCTTCTTAGCCATCGCTCCGATATGCGTGACCGAGTGCTGTCCTCAGAGCCACAGAACAGGGGCTGAGGTTGGGGAATTTGCTCGTGGCTCCCAGGAGCTGCCGGAGGGGCTTTGCTGGTGCAGGGGTGGGGTTGGGGTCAGTGAGCAGCACGGACAGCCCCAGGTGTGGGATTTGGCATGGGCTGTGCCAGGCAGAGCGACCAAGAGCTTTACCTGTACAGAGGGCTTCACGTTCAGCCACGTTCTCAAGGAGTATGTGCAGTGGCAAAGCAGAAAGGTGTCGATGCTCTTGGTAGGGGCAGAATGTCAGCAGATTCACGCCCAAGCAACTGGGGTCGAGACTACTATTGTTTTTTAAAGAGACATTTTCGAAGCCGATGGAATTGAATGCATTGACCTCTGAACAGAAGAATACAGGCTATTCTGTTTGAGCTGTCGCAAGCCTCAGACACTTAATTTGCTGTTAAATCTCCAAATATTATTGCTATATATAATTTCCAGAACTAACCACCATATATTTGCAAGCAGTTCTTCTCATCCAAATGCAGGGTCTGACTCTCTCAATACCCACCTCGGAGACATTTTCTTCTTCCTGGGTTCTCTCCAAGTTCAGTAGCAGCTTCAGTGGGAACCAGACTCGCTTCTTTGACCTGTAGTTACTGAACTGTAAAACCTCATTGTTTTTTGCACTGATGATTTTTAGAATGGAAACCTGTTACCATCTCATGTAGCTACACCCAACTGTTTGTAGTGCATGACAATTAAATATCGCTACCAGGGTGTGTGTGTGTGTATATCTATGTATGTAGATGTGCATATATGTATGCACACACACACGTATATATATCTATGTGTACATATTTAAAGAAAATAATCCTGTGCAGAAGTTTTTCCAGCAGTAAGGAGACTGTAAGGAAGTGTGCCAACAGAGTCAGGCAAGCGTAAGAAAAGGCCATATCTTAATTCCTGGTGTGTCTCTCAGTGGATGTGCCTGAGCCGACGGTCGCTGCGCTGCTGGAGCCGGGGCCGTGCGTGGCAGAGGGAGCTGCCCGCCGTGCTGCAGGTGAAACAGTGCCTGGTGTGGGGGCTCAGCAAAGAGCCCCACAGCCCCGTGCCCCCAGCCAGAGGCCCGGCTCCCTCCTTGCACACACCTGGGGGGCCCATTTACAGGCTCCGGTTGGCCTCTTCACGTGGAGATTTTATAGTCCTACTGAGCTCCCCGACTACGTGTAACCCAGCTTCCCCCCCCACCACCACCACACCTTCCTGTATTTATATCACTTTCTACTTCCGATGATCTTATTTATAACAAAATTTTTTAGACTGGCTGCTTCATTTTATTAACTGATTCAATACGAAGCGCAGGACGGCCGCGCTGAGACACGCAGCACTGTGAACACTGCTCTGCTCATTGGCCCTGGGCCGCGGTAGGCAGATCTCGCATCAGGCACCTCAGACCTCGTGCTCACAGCGCTCTGGGTCGACTGAGGGACAGTGCTGAGCCGAGGCTGCTGCCCACACAGTGCAGCTCCCCGTCCTGCAGCCTGACTGCACACCGCATAACCACTTCTCTTTGATAGCTCTTCAATGACAGAATGTATCTGATGACTTTTATTACCGAAAACTGACTTCCCTTTCTGTGGACTCAGCTGAGCTCCCTCTGAATGTACACCTGGAGCTTACTGGGTTTAAAACCAATGTGAATTGTCCCAGCTTTTTTGCTAGTCGAACGTTCGATGGAACAGTTGCCATCCGAGTAGGAAGCCAAGCCACAATCCATCCTCTGAAGTCACCAAACCACGTCACAAAATAATTTCTGCAAATTTGGATATGGCCTTTGCAAAATTCCTCTTTCCTCAAAGTCCACCACTGAGGCGAGGCACAATCTGTGCGTTTTCCAATGCTGATGAGATGTTCACATTTTCTTATGTGTAGATAGTGTAAAACAGAGGCGAATGTAAATTTTCAACATAAAAAGTGGGTATGTAAAATTGAAAGTTATTTATTTATGTAGAGGAAGAAACGGCTGGAGGGACTGGAGCCTTCAGGGTTTATTAATATTTAAAAATGTAGCTTTTTGTTTCAGGCATTATGTACAAAGCAATTCCTTCATGGACCAACTTTAATGTAACTGTCAATGAATGCAGAAGTGCAATATTATACTCACCTCTCCATCACTTCACGTTCCCAGCAGCTGCTGACCAGTTAGACTGACAATCATAGCGCTCCGTCCTCACCCTTTGTTCAGCTTCTTGAAATTCCCTGGCTCCTTTCCTTGCCCCCCATCTGTTGCCATTGTGCAAATCCGACATGGAGAAGCAATTGTAGAGCAGGACCTTTATTGCTGCAATAATACCAGATGACGTGGGTGTAGTTACCAGGAAATATGCCAATGAGTTTTCTTCACCAGTTCGGTCCATCACAGTCTACATCAGTCTATCTTCAGCCACCCCCATCTGGCACTCATCTCTTCAAAGATCAACGTGCTACTCACTCAAAGAACAATAGCAATAGTTTAACTCTGTTTATAACCTGTTTGTTCTGAGCTGTTTTGGAGAGCGATGCGTGTGACTCAATGCCTTTCCACATGTCTGGAAGAGGATCCATTTGGATGCAGGGAGGGAAACACAAATGTATATTCCATCCTTACTAAAGGGGCACTGTCAGGTTAAAGACCTAATTTATCTTTGTTACAAATAACTCATTTGCTTTGAAACAAAAGACTATGAAGAGTTTCTTGGCCTCCTCCCTCTGGCTTTTGGGCAGTGCTCAGCCCATGTTGTTCCCACACTTGCACAACACAGCACACCCTGCGCAGGCTGCCTTAGGCTTCTCTTTTTTTTGTTGTTTTCCTTTTCCTCTCTTTTTTCCATTGCTTCCATCAGAACCAAACTCCACCGTGGAGCTCAGATTTTTCTAACAAGCAGCTTTTTGTACTCCCAAACAATTGGGCCAGACTTTGTACCTGACGCTGTCCCTTTAACATCTTAATTTTTTTATTAATAAAAAAAAAGCCCACGCATTCATTCCGAGTCACTTTCCTGGGCTGCTCACTCCGTCAGACGAGGTGAAATTCTCATACCAAAAACGTTTACAGTGTCCGATCCGCGAGCCAGGAACCAGCCAAAGGCTCACCGCCGCCGCCGCTCCGCCAGCAGCCGCCGTGCTTGCTGTAGCAGCCCCTTCTTCAGGTATTGCCACTTTGCTGCATTTCCTATTAGTTCTAGAAGCCTTACAGTCCCTTCCCCGTCCTCAGCACCCTCTCTGCCTGTTGATACCCTCGACTGTCGGTTTTATATTCAACGATGTTAATTCTATTTTATTTATAAAAAATTGCTCTGGGGGAGCGACAGGTGGGTGCGTGGGGAACCACCAGAGGGCACAGCGCCGCGTCTACAGCGCCGTGCAGACGACTTGCTTGTGTGTGACAAACCTTCTGTACAACTTCCTTCTCCTCCTTGCTGTTAGTGCATCGTCCCAATGCCTGGGTGTGCTTTGTGTACAGTATCATTGTGAGTTACACAGATTAAAGAAATGGGAAGGCTCGTCTCCGTCTGCTTATTTGGGAAGCTCTTGAAACACAAGTCACAAAGCCCAGGATGTGAGCAAGCGCCACTTTAATGGGGGTTAGAGCAACAAACAGAGCATGGAAATTTGTGCAGGACAGTCCTGCGTCACTCATTTGTCCTATAACCACTTTTTATTATTTTAAAGTTCATAGATGTATGGACTTTGCAGTGGGGGAAAACAACAGGCATTTGTGTTACTGTGGGTGTGGGCCCCCAAGCTGCTGACGGCATTGCTGCCACACTGCAGGAAAAGGCAGGAAGAGAGCAAGGCAAAGGTTCCTCTCCACACAATGGGTGAGCAAAACCTCTGTCCCCAGGTTCTCAGCGCGTGGGGCAGACAGAGCAGCACAAAAGGGACCAAAAGCAGCCCCTGAAGGGAAGACGCAGCTGTCAGTGTTGCAGCCCTGCTGCAGACCCTGTGCCAGCTCCTGCCAACAGAAGCCCAGAGATAAGGCATCAGCATCTCTGTGCTGCTGAGCTCCTCAGGCCTTCAAAGGGTCACAAGGGCAAGCAGCATTACAGCCATGCTGGCCCCAGTTATGAGAGGAAGGAGAGAAGCTGTTTAATGGGAGATGAACCATTAAGGTCTTTCTCCTTCCCAGGCAGTAACTTACAGACTGAATGACACTGCCCCAGGGAAGCCTACCGATGCAGTGCTGCCTGCAGGTCCAGCTCATCAGTGCGCCAGGGCTATGCCCACAGCAAGACAAGTCTCCAGCACAGCTACAGCACAGGCTCACTGCAGCATCCCCGTTCTCACCTGGAAGGCCAGCCCATCCCCACGGGTGGCTTGCTGGAAGAGGAGAGATGGGCACTCAGAGCACAGCCTTTACCAGGACAGTAGACCACAGCACTCACTGGCTGGGGCCTCTGTGGGGCTGCCAGGACTCTCTTTGCCCTGGTGGGGCCCCCTGAGAAGCAAAACAACCCAACCATCAGCCCCAGTACCTTGTTAATTTCCTTGTGTCTCTCCTTGCTGACGATTTCCTCCAGCACTTCTCCATCTCCCTTAATAAGCCTGGAAGACAAGCACAGGACCACGAGGTGTGAGGGCTATCTGCCAGTCACGCTGGTTCCCCCTGCCCCATGCAATATGTGCCAGGAAAACAAAATTGAACAAAATGCTCCAGTAACGTATGGGACAGATACATGAGGACCAGGAGCTGGGCTGGTGCACTTCTGCTAGCCCAGTGACTGCCCCAACCCTTGAAGCTCTATCAGGTGCCATCTTGTCTTAGTTTCATCTGGATGGATGGATTTTTCTTAAGAGTGTCAGGTATAATGATATATTTTGGTTCTAGGAGAAAAACAATGCTGATAACACACTGATGTTTATAGTGTCTGCTAAACAGTGTTGTACAGAGCCAAGGTCATTCTCAGCAAAGGGCACAACGAGCTGGGAGGGAAATGAATTAGGACAGCTGACTGAAACTGGCCAAAGGGTAATTGCATACCACATAGCATCAAGAGGAAGGACTTCAGAAGGGGGTGGGAGTTCACCTCTCTCTCTCATTGCTGGGCATCAGTCAGGGGGTGGTGAGCAATTGCTTGTGCATCACTTGTTATATATACTTTTATATATATTTGTCATAATTATTATCCTTTTCCTTTTCTCTTAGTAAATAGTTTTATCTCAACCCAAGAGTTCTACCTTGTTTTCTTTCTCCTGTTTCTCTCCCCCTTCCCACTGAGAAGGAGGGGAGTGAGTGAACAAATGTGTGGTCCTTAGCAACCTGCCAGGTTAAACCACAACACATCATTTTGGCCATATCAAACTTAGCACGGCAGGTTTGTCCCTTGCTCTTATGTGATGAGCATCAGCAAGCTGCAGCCAGCACAGCTGTGGTCCCTTGAGAAAGGAGCATCCCCCTGCAGGACCAACTAGCCCTGTCCAAGGCTGAGGGCCCTGCATCTGTTATGTACTGAGCCATTGCACATCTCCTTGCACACTGCAGGAGAAAATACCTGTAATAGAAAAATCTCCTGCCACCCCACCATCTGCAGAAGCTTCACTGTCAGCAGCAGTGGACTCAGCTTCTGCAAAACTTTTTTTTTTTTTTCCCCCTAACTGAATTCAGGTCTGCTCCTGACTGCCTGAGGGAGCTGCAGGGCCATTCAAACACGAGCCAGTTTTGGCCTGGAAGGCAGCCAGATCAGGACATCTCACCCAAGCACATTTCCAGCATTATCAAAGGCAGCTCACAACCCCTAGCATGAATAGGAATTTAAATGTCTTCATTACGTGCTTTACATGGTACTGACCTTTGTTCCACACCTCCCTAAGTCCCGCAGGCTGCCTTCTATTTTAAGACTGGACTTGTCATACCCAATTCTCCTCACCATGATTTTTTCTGTTTGCTGGAAGATGCAGCTTATTACAAACTGGGTCATTTCCACTTGGCAGCTATATGGACTTCAGTCTGTTGTCTGTTCCAAGGGGAACATACCCACTCCCTCCCCACTCACATCTGCATGCTAATTGGAGCTGGGGCACCTGTAGCTGGAAATAGCATTTTGCAGCTCTGAAACTCGGTATAAAATTGCCACTTTCAGGGTAAGCTACAGCAGGTTTGATGGAGAGGATCTGCATGGCAGATTTTGCTGCTGAGGGGGACCTGACTCCAGGCAGTACTGCACATCTTCCAGTATCCCATCCCATTCAACCTGGATAGCAATGGCGATGGATCCATCACCTCTCTTCTGCCCAAAGCAGCCATACCTGGTTCTCCCTGTTTCAGGATCCACCACTCTTCTGATAACACTCTGCCTCGCGTCCCATTCCTCCTTTGTCATTGGCTTCATAGCCTGGATTCGGGACTTCTGCTCATCTGTCAAAACTGGAACGTGTCCATGAGTCAGAGCTGTGCTGGCAGAACCAGTCTGCGGGGAGCAGACAGGAACACAGCACCAGATACCGGTGGTTTATCAAAAAACCACGCAAGGGACAGTCTGGGTGTGCTCCACATCCCAGATGAATGTGGGCAGCAACTTTATCATAGAATGGTTTGGGTCGGAAGGGACATTTAAGATCATGCAGTTCCAACTGCCTGCTATATGCAGGGACACCTCCCCACTAGACCAGGTTGCTCACAGCCCCATCCAACCTGGCTGTCACTTCTGTTACTGCTGACAGCATCCTTTCATCCAGCATCTTTGTTCCCAGCTCACATTCACAAATCAGAATGAAATTTATCAATGAACTCACAAGTTTGGCTCCTTACATTCACTGCTGTGGGCCACAGAGGGAGAAGAGCCAGGTGCCCCTCTGTGCCCAACCCCAACCCGACCAGGGAGGCAGCAGCCATTCCTCAGCCCAGAGTTACCTGGCCCGGGGTCGACCTGTGGCTCCTTCTGCCACAGCTCCAGTGAAGGGCCGGGCAGTGCCTCACTCACGCCTCTGTCCTCCTTAACTCTTTCTTTTGACTTCTTCAATTTCTTCTTTATTTTCTTCTTCTTCTTCTTGTCTTTGTGTTTCCCTCTCTTCCTTTTGCCGTGCCGCTTCGCTCTGGTGTCACTGTCACTGGAGGAGGTGGAGGAGGAGGATGAGGAGGAGCGGGAGGACGACGAACTGTCAGAGGATGAAGCGTTTGCCTTCCTCTTCTTTTTCTTCCTACCCTCCTTCTTCCTTCCTGCAACACACAGTGGGAGTTCAGCACAGCACCACGGGGGGGGAGGGAGGCGGGGGAACGCGGGTGCAGGGCCCTCCCTACCTTCCCTGGCGGCCGCAGAGCTCGGCCGGTGCCGGGGACCCGGGGAGGCCGCACCGCTCCTCACGCCGCGCTTCTCCCGTCCGCTCCCAGAGGGGCTGCGGCTGCTGCTGCTCCGAGACCGCTTCCGGGACCGCCCGCGGGCCATGGTACGCCGGGGCCTGCGGAGAGAGGTCAGCGCTACGCCCCGACTGGGAACGCCAGAGGGATCTAAGATGTGCGCTGTCCCTTTAAAAGGTGCGCGCACCCCGGCCCTTCGACCGCCGTTCCGCGCCGCCGCCACGCGCACGCGCTCACCGTAGTCCCCGGGCCTCGCCGCGCGCACCGAGCGCCGCGCCGCCGTTACAGCTCCAGACCTCACTTCCGGTCTCCCCCGCTCACTTCCGGTCACTCACTCACAAGGCGCCGCCCGGGTCCCCGCGCCGCCCTCCGTGGTTCCGGCGAAACCGACAGCGAAGCGTTCGCGGAGCCGCTCACGGCGCGGGGACACCGAGTGCGGCAGCCAGAGCGCAGCGCTTCTGCCGCTGGGCTGCGGGCGGAGGCCCTCAGGCTGCCATTCCTCCTCCCGCGGCCGGTTGCGAAGCGTCCCTGCGAGCTTCTGCGAACAGCGCCAAGCGGTGCACGTGGGCGTTTATTGCACTGCTCTTTCCCACGTACACGCGGAGCGCACCGCCCGCCGGCACACACGTCTCCGCAGATGAAAAGCAGCGTTGGGTCTGTGTGCACACCTGAACGTATCGGCAGTCCTTGCAGTGAGTCAGTGCTGGGGCTTTGCACGTCTCCGCGCTCCTCCAGCACTCCGATGTGGCTGCCTGCCCTCGCCAGCCCTCGCAGCAGCAGTGGGAGCAGCTGGCTTCCTTCCCAGCAGGACCGGTTTGGTGTCACCTTGCACGGTGACAGCTCCCTCTTAAATGACTCAACGTCCTCCCGAGGCTGTCAGCACGGTCCGAGAAGGCAGAAAGCAGCTGGAGGCAATCTGTTCTGCAGAAGGCATGCCCCACCTGCTACCACACCGAGCACAGATCCACGGTCTCAGGCACGTCTTCTTCACAGGTTTCTGTGAACCCGTCTCCAAAGCCCTCTGCCTCCACCAGCTGGGGTTTCTGGTTGCACATGGGACACAGCTGGTTGCGGATGGCTGATGATCTCATCCAAATGATGAGGTTCCAGCGCTCCCCCGAGGCGATGGGAAGAGCCCCGTGGATCTGCCCTCCTCGGTGCAACAGCCCCTGGGTTCCCACGTGTTCCACCTCTATGTAGTTTGGCACAGGGGAAGGATCCTGGAACAAAGGGAGGTAGATATGGCATTACATCAGAAAGTCCTTAAAAGAACAGTGTTCAAGTAGTTGAATTTTCTTCACCCACAGTTCAACCACTTCAGTCACAGTAAGCCATTTTCAGTGCCAGGTCCACAGGGAATTTAAAGGCAGTTTCAATTAAAAAAAAAAAAAAAAGCAAACAAAACAACAACAACAAACTAGTTTCACCAGTGTGGGGTTTTTCAATCCCTCTCTTATTTAGAATTCCCTGGAAATAGGGGATATGGAATTAAGTCTCGTCTGAAGTAACTTCTGTCTCTCCCTCTCAGCACCTCTTTGATCATTATTTTCCTTGTGGGAAGACAGGTTGGTTTGCTTCACTCCAGCTGCTACTAGAATAGTTGTGTTTGTCCTCTCTTTGAACTGGTTGCAATTAGCTTGAATATTGCTAATTCACTTAGAGCAGTAGAGGTCCCTACTTAACCACTACATTTTAGAAAAGGGGAAGGGACAGACTGGATTTGACTGTTAGAAGTGAGCAACTGCTTTTTAGAAAATAGTTAATGCCTTGAAACTGGAGGACAGAGGGGAATAGAAGCTGGGTCCAGATGAGGAATGTGCTCAGTACCTGTCTGAAATCTCCGAAGTACAAATTGCCTTCTGTGAAGTCTTTTCCCAGTGAAACGTTTAGGGTGACTTCTGCATTGTCATAATGAGAGCTCAGATCCAGATCTTCGTGCAGAGAGTACTTGACAACAAATGCCTTATGGCTGTCCAGGCAGGCACCCCCCAGGTCAGGATAAAGCAGGGCTGTGATGGGACGCAGATATTTTTCACGCAGGGGTGTGATGAAATTTTCATCCATCCCCAGCTCATTGAGTAAAACCTGTACGAAAGAGAGGAGATGGAACAGCTGACCAACAGCTGGGTACATCTGCTGCTTCATCAGAGCAGCTGCTGAGCTGTCTTGCACTCTTCCAACTCTGATGCTTGCTCAAAGAAAGGACCAAAAAGCTCCAGGTACAGGGAAAGGAAGAGGATCAAGGTAGAAAGTGATAGTGAACACAGTAAGATCAAAAATTGAGTGTCCTTTAAAAAATATACTCCTTGATTTAAAGATGTGTTGCTTAAATGCAAGGTGCTCGTTGCTTTGAGATACCAGATCCCACCCCAACTCCCTGCTTTTGTCCATCCTTTTGCCTCTGGACAAATAACATGCATTCCTTCAACCCTCTCATTTCAGAGTCTGTACTCAAACTATGCTGCACTCAAATTATAGACAGTTTGGATTGGAAAGGATTGTGAAGCAAGGAGGTAAACAGTGTGCTCAGGAACACTCCCCCTAAAGAAGCACGAGAGCTGATGAGTCCTACCCCATAGTTATTCATGCTGTTGGGCCGGCCTTTAGGCATGTCTGACTGCTCAAAGTTCTCCAGCTCCTCAATAAAGGCTTGACAGAACTCCTCTGTGAACACTGGGAGTCGAAAGATCCTCTTATCTGTCAAGAAAAGTGAGACTGTTTGCTGGGGAAAATAACATGAAAGTCTTCTTGGCTGTTGTGTTTTCTGCCTAGACTATGCTGGTGTTGGTGAGAATGCAGCACCCAGACTTTTCACTTCATGCTCTGGCTGCTCAAGGAGTTGGCACTGTTCCTCAGGATCAGCTCTGGGATGGATTTGTTATTTTTCATGTTGACCCTTTGCTTCCAGGCCTCCCCATCCAGTTGTGAAACCTGGTACTGATTTACATGCCTGCTGTAAGTGCCAAGGAAATGCTCTGAGAGGGCCCAGAAGCTGCAGAGGGAGGGCAGTAAATCAACAGCAGTCCTCATGGATGAAAGGGACTCGAGGACATTCAGAGGATGGCGAATTTACTTGTCCAGCCCATCTTCCCTTTCTGGGAAGGCCAGGCCACCTGTGCTGCTTTTCAGGGTAGAGCCCTAAAGGTCTAAGGGGAGCTCAGTATTAAGGATATAGGAGCTGTGATAAAGACAGTGTGAAAAGGTAATGTGCCTGGAAACTACTTCTTGGGAAAATAACCAACAGCAGCCTTGTACACACACTTGTTTCTTTCTTTTTGTCTTGAGAAAAAGAGGCGACTTTGCAGCTTCCCTTCCAAATTTTGTCAGTGTTTCTGGCAGGTAGAGATCTTCAAAAATGCCACCAGGGAAGCTGAAAGCACAGATCTCTTTAAAAGGCTGAAAACTAGACTGAAAATATTTCAGCTCAGACTAACCAAAGGGAATTGTCTGAAATGGGGAAGCACTGGGGAGGGAAAACCAAGCCCCTCAAGCTAAGTGTTCCTTCACAGCAGCCCCCCTTGTGAGGTTATGATACAAGCAAAACCCCAGCCCTGTTGTAGTGAGAGCCTCTGATGAGACATCAGCAGACTTGGACTGGAAAAGCAGAAAACAGGATCTCATCCACAACACAACTGCTGCACAATACTGCTTCTCCAGAGACTCTCGTCAAGCAGAAAATAACATCCTGCTTGTCCCGGCTGTGTATCAAAACCGAGCTGTCAAAGACAGGGCTGGGAAACAGCTGCCATCACTGAAACTGCAGCATCACATGGGTGTTCTCTGTTGATGATGGGTTGTTTTCTGTACCTGAGAAGGACTCGGTGTAGCGCAGGAGGCCATGGAGATTAGCATCTGGTGTTGTGCAGTATCTAACGATTTCTAGAAAACCTGGGGCCAGAAATGAATCCTGGTGCCAAGGGAAGGATGACAAATGTAAACAGAAACACAATTAGCTTGCAGAGTCTTTTACAGCCTGAGAGGGAAACAGACTTTCACATACACACAGGAAAATACATAAAGCCTAGGGAGCGAGGCTGATAGCTGCCCTTGGCTTACTTCTGTGGCAGAAAATGTTACCAGTAAAATGTCTGTAGTTGTAGTTCATGAGTATTTCTAAGTATAACTGGCCAGATTAATTCTTAGTGCAATGGGAAAGAGCCTGGCTTGCATTACAGACACCTAAAGGGTAAAAGCAAAGACATTTCTACAAGATTTACCATCTTTTCCTGGCCTTAACACGACAGAGCTCTGCTGGAAGCACTTTCCTGCACAGATCATGACAGTCAATGGCAAAACATGTTACTAAAGGGTTATGGAGCAGTAAATCCGTGAGAATTTTTGTGTGATTGATAATCTAGGAACACGTCTGTCAAACATCAGGAAATTCAAAGCAGAGCAGCCCATAACAAAGGTGCCTATGCTGCATTTTCAGCGGGGTACACATAGACAAGCAGCCTGCTCCCACCCTTCAGCTGAGAGTAATTAGTTGTTTACCTGTGCTGATTTCTGTGGCTGTCCCTTACTCTTCAGTGACCCTGCTGGTGCAGTGGTACGTTAGCTCACAATTACTAACTATATTCTGCATTCAGCACCAGGTGGTGGTGCAGCTTCCATAAAGAATGACCCTCACTTGGCAGAATCCTGCCTGGAGAAGACGCTGGGCTGTGACAGCTGTTTTGGTTTTGATTCAGTCCAGCTCTGGAACTGCACAAACTCTTGATGATAAAAGGGCTTCCCACTGCAAATATAAGCTCTCAGCCAATTCCTTGAGTGCAAAGCAGATTTCAAACACAGGATCTACCTGAAGAGTGTACACTTCTGAGTGCTTTCGTTTGTAACACTGAGAGATGATGGCTTTGCGCTCCGCTGACTGATGAACCAGGTGTTTTCTTCTCTGCACTTCTGCTTCAATCTAGGAATAAACAACAGAGCATCGTGCTGGAGAACCAGAACGAATAACAAAGAAGAGGATAACTAAAACAATTCTGGGAATCTGCTTATTGTTCTAAAGCACTTATTTTTGTTCAGGGCACCTCTGGGAGCCTGAGCTGCACATTTGCTTTTCTGTAGTCAAGACAGGATGAGTAAATATTTAAAAACCCAGATGCCTAAGAGGGATTTGAGAGGCATTTGCACAATGGATGGCTTAAGAAATAGGTGAAGTCTTTCCGTGGATGTGTCAGGGGAGCGGTGAGTTTTCATCCCTTTCAGGCATTTCTGACACCTCATGAATCGCTCTGGGTCTGGTTTATGTCCAGACAAGAGCTGTTTTGTCCACAACGAAGACGTTTCCTGGGAGGGATTAGCGTTAAGTGGTGCCGGGACAGGCTCGTCCATCACCGCACAGCAAACAGCTCAGGCAACAAATGCTCTGCTGCGCCACCCGCGAGGTCACACCGCCCGCCGTGTGACGGACCCGCGGGGCATCCCGAGCCGGCCGGGACCCCCAGAAACTGGATGCTGTGCCGAGAGCATCGCCACACGGCAGCTCGGCGCTGGGAGGCTGCTCCGGCGCCGCCACCAAAGCGGGCTCTTATAAATAGCAGGAAAGGGACCGAGGAGCTGCCAGCCCTCGGTCCCCGCCCGCGGCTCGGCGCTCACCTCGCGCAGCACGGCCGCCATCTGCTCCTCGCCGCCGCAGCCCCGTTCCCTCAGCGCCTGCAACGACACGGCCGTCAGCGGCCGAGCCCGACGCCGACCCTGCCGCCCCGCCCCGCCCCGCCGCTACCCGCCCGTAGTCCCGCCGGAGCTGCCGCTCGTCGCGGTAGCAGACGTGCATCCCGCAGCGCCCGACGAAGATGTTGGCGGAGAAGAAGCAGGCGCAGGCCCGGAACGCCCGATCCGCCGCCATGTTTCCCGCCGGAGCGGAGCGCGCGCCCTGGTCCGCCGCCACAGCGCTTCCGGAGGGCGCGAGGGAGCGTCGGAAAATTCCGGGCCGGAAGATAAACGGGGAAAAGGAGGCGCCGTAACGCCTCTTCTCCTCCCTCTCCGTGCCGGTTTTTGCAACCTCGACGCCGTCGCCGCCGATCCCCGTATCTCCAGCCCGTAGCGAGGCGTTGGCCGCGGCTCGGGGCGCGCACGGACCGGCGGCTCTTTGCAGACGATCCCTGCGCTGCACGGCAGCGTCCCCGCCATCCTCCTGCCGTCCCTCAGGGCCGGGCACGCGCTCGGGCACGCGCGTGGCGCTCGTCGGGCACGCGCCCGGCCCGGGCCCCCGCGGCGGCCATGGAGTCCTCGCTGCAAGTGGCCGAGGAGGAGGTGGTGGTGGCGGCCGAGCCGTGCGTCCCCAGCAGCAAATTCGAGGACATTTACCGCCTGCTGGCCGAGGGCTGCTTCCCGCCCAGCTTCTGCTCCATCAAGAGGAAGAACCTCAAGCGCTACGCCCAGAAATTCGTCGTTGATGGTGGGAACCGGGGGACCCTCGGGGGATTGCGGGGGGGATCCGCTGAGGGAACCCGGCGGTGCCGCGCCGTTATCCCGGCGTCGCTTTGGGGGCGGAACGTGGCGATTTGGGGCGCTGTGTGGGTGCTGGGACCCTCTGTTGGAGGAGGGCTGTGTGCGTAGGTGAGGTCCCTGGGTCTGCGTGTGGGCTCAGCGCGAAGCTGTGCTGCTTTTGGGAGATGTCCTTGTCACCCTCACGGGAACGGCTGTGCGATCATCACGGGAAACAAAGCCGTCCCGCCCGCAGGTGGCTGCCTGTACTACGTGGGGCCTAAGAAGGAGGAGAAGCGCGAGGTGATCGTGGACCCCGAGCGCAGGCGGCAGGTCTTCCTGGAGAGCCACTTCACCGAGATCGGGAACCACCTGGGCCAGAAGAAAACAGTGCACCGCATTCAGAGCCGGTACTACTGGCTGGGGATTGTGAAGGATGTGGTGGACTGGGTAAGTCTGGAGCAACGTCTTTGACTTTCCCAGGAGGTTCAGGCAGGAGTGAGCAGCTGCCAGAGCCCTGGTGCAGGGATGGTGTTGCTCGTGGTGCTGTTGCTTTGAAGCCGTGCACTGGGCCACGCTGCAGGTGAAACTGTTGGAGCGTCTTGAGGCAGCTGGATAGATTGGATGTCTTTTCCCCTGAGCATCAGTAAACCTGCACAGGTAGGCATCCTCATGCAGGGCAGTTTTGGCCAGTGTGGGAATATCAGATTGGTTCAGACAAAGCGTTGCTGAGTTTAGCTTTGAGCAGGCTGCATTCCTGCCAGAGCTCCTCAGCTCCCTGAACTGCTGTAAAGAGAGGAGCACAGTGTTTCCACCAGCTTTCCTGGGCTACTTGGCCTCACCTATTGTAATTCCCCTGCAAGCAGGGCTCTGCAGCAAAAGCCCGTTTTGGAGAAGTGTGTCTACATTACCTGGTCCAGACAGTACCCCTCTGGTATCCTAGGGATGATAATTTCTCTAGCCATTAGAAAAAATGCAATAAATATTTACCCCAAACCAGGGTAAGAAATGTCTTTGCTATAGGCCACATTGAGAAAGTCAGTTATTGTGTCAGAGAAGGCTGTCTGGTGAGTTTTGTCAGAGATGAGTTGTGTCAGCCTGTTGTCTTCTGTTCTCTTTTTCTTGTGTCCTTCTGTTTTTATTGGGTAGAAGGAAGCTGCACAGAGGTACTGTCCCTCTTACCCACTTATAACTTGTTCAGAATCTGACATAACTTGGCAGCGTATTTTAAAATCCTTTGATACAGTTTTTCCCTTTCCAGATCAAAATGTGCGAAACATGCCAGAATGCAGAGCACAACAAAAACATATCACGGAAAACCAGACCTGTTAAAGTGGAGTCCCCCTGGGAAGTGCTGGGATTAGCTGTTCATGGTGAGTGTTTGTGGCTGTCTCACAAGCTCTTCAAGGTTTCTGCACCCGCTGTCGGGAAGTGTGGCAGATTTACGGTCACACGTGAGTGACAGCCGCCTACCTCTGTGGTGAAGAACTGCCAAGGAAGCCGTAGCAGCTTACCAGGGTGCAACCTGATCCAAATGCCTGGCACAGTTCCCACTGCATACACAATGGGAGTTATGTGGGTGTGAGTTACCGCTCGGAATTGAGGCTGTGATGGGTGTGCTGTTACTAACAAAGGTCACAGAACTGTACTGTCTAGATGACAGCAGAAAAGAGTTAAAAGTATTTTGCCTTTTGGCAGCAGTTGTTTTCTGGGCTTGGTTTTTTACCTTCCCTGTTTGGGTGATACTACAGCATCACATTTATTTATTTATGTATTTATTTTTAATTTTATGCAGGACCTTTTCCTGAGACGAGCCAGAGCAATACACATGTCCTCATTGTGACTGACTACTTCACTAAATGGATTGAGGCTGTTCCCCTGCAGAAGAAAGATGCCTTGTCAGTGGCTAAAGCACTAGCTACCATTTTTTACAGGTGGGCTCTTGTCGTCTTGATTAAATTGCAGCTCTGCAGTGAGATAAAGGATGCTCTAGAAACTGTGTTAAAATATGTGTCCACAAGATGGTTCTCCAGAAGAGCAGGAACTCTTCTGCAGGACAGGCTGTGCAGTGCCCCTCTCTTGCTATCTACAGAGTCCTTGGGAACAGCATGTTATTCTCTTATTAGCAGTGGAAAGGAGAAGGAAACATAAGTGGTTCACTTTTTGGCTCCAAGGTCAAGAGAGCTGGTGCCCCAGTTCTCTACAGAGTTATAAAATGTGCTCTGATCCTTTGTAGAGACTGTTTGTTTTACACTCATGTGGTACCTGCTGCCACTGTACACTGTGGGAAATGCATGTGGCCAGCAGAGACTTGCACAGGAAACTTTGCTTGTTTCTTCTGGTGCCTTATCATTCAAAAGCAAACAGGGTTGGCTATTTTGGAACAGAGACAGCCAACAGATCTCTCTCTGCTCTTGGGAGGTGCTTCGGAAGATGCTTGCTTCTTCAGCACCCGCTCCATTGGAGGACCTTTCTCCCTTTTGTATCCTGTTTCCCATGCGGATTGAATGCCTCTGCTTCTGCCCTGTGGTGAGCAGAGTAAAGCAAGTTGTGTGTCCTCTTCTTATTCAGGTTTGGAGCATCCAAGAACATTTATGCTGGTGAGAGCTGGGACTTCTGTGAGGAGGTAGGTCAGGTGCTGGCTGTTTCAGGGAGAAACAACATGATCTTGAGTGTTTGCTTTTGATCAGAGCTACAACATGCCATGTACAGGGTATGAAGAGCTGAAGCTGCCATCTCTCTGTCCCAGCCCTGTTGCCAGCAATAGGTGCTTTGCCAGTGCTTTCATGCTGTCGGGATTTGAAGCTGTGGTTATGTGGTATAAAGCCTTGAGCCACACTGCAGCTTCTTTGCCCAGAAGGAAAAAATCCTGTGAGATGATGGCTGTGCACTCTCTGCCCTACCCTGGGATTAACCCAGCTTGCCAGTGCTGTGGAAAACCACAGCACTGTAATATTTGTTGCAACATGTTTTCTCCAGCTCTGACTTCTCTAGTGAGTTTTTCATGCTCAGTAATACTTTTCTCCCTCTTCTGTAGTATCCTCATGCTGCCAGGGGGATTTCTACTTCAGTCTGTTTCATTATAAGCAGTATTTTGTTTCCTGCACTCTGTAGCTACATCTCAGTGAGGCAGTGCTGACTCAGTCTCATAATGCTGCGGTGCAGACCTGCCTTGTCCTCCTGTGGGCATGACCCCCTGCCTTTGCAGGTCAGCCGGCTTCTCTGTGAGCGCTGGAACATCTCCCAGATTCTCACCCCTGCAAACCCTGTGGACTGTGTGGGCCTGGATCACCGCAGTGCTGAGGTGCTCAAATCCTCCATCTGCAACGTGGTGAATGAGAAGCCCAGTGAATGGGATGCCCACCTCGACCCTGTGCTCTTCGACTTCCGCACGTCGGTGAACTCTGCCACGAAGTACACCCCTTTCTTCCTCATGTTCAACAGATACGTGTGCCTGTCGTCTGAGGTAACTCTGCAAGAGAGCACAGTTGTGTGTGAGGTTTGCCACTGACACTGCTACGGAGTAATAACCACGTGTCTATGCTTTGCAGGTGGATTTTGTCAAGGACTCAAAAGAGCAGAGCGTTAGCTCTGCTAAGGCAGATGGCCTCCCACCATTCACCGCTGCAGTTCAAGAGCAGCAGAATGCGGTGAAGGAAATTGTAAGTCTTGCAGTGCCTTGAAGGGGTTTTGCAGCTAAGCCCCCATCTGTCCACAGATGCCATCCCACAGGAATCTCTTGCCTGCAGGCTTTCTCCCATTGCCAGGCACAGCGGGTGGTGTGTTGTGGCAGTGGCAGCAGAGCCCTGCTTAGGCAACGCCCAGGTGTTCTGCCCTGGCTGGGTCACTGGTTCTGCTTGCAGGAGAAGCAGGGCGAGAGCTGTGGTTTAACAGGTATTGTGAGCTTCCAGTAGCTTCAGCCTAGATCCCATTCTGCCCTCTACTGATGGAGAACTCTGAGCACAGCCATTAAATAATACTTTCTTAACACAAGGTCTCCTGGAAGTGTGGGGTTGTTGAAATGAGGCTGGAAGGTCCCTGTTTGGTCCCTCCCTTGCCCTGAGGTGCAGCCGGTGGTGCTGACGTTGGCACAGCTTTTGCCATCAAAGTTGCAGCATGGTTGAGCTGATTTTTAAGCTACCTCTCCTTTAAGCCCAACCAAAGCTATCCGCTTTGCAGGTGATCGCCAATATGACCACAGCCTACAAGCGGGAGCGGAAGACCATGAAAAGAAAAAGTCGGGTCCTGCCCTCTCTTACATTCAAAATGGAAGAAAATGTGTTTGGGAGCAACGGTGCCTCTTCCCTGAAGAAGCTGAAGAAGGGCCAGTTTGTGTCCTTCCAAATTGAAACAGTCCTGCCAAATGAGCAGAGTATGGCTGAAGTGAAGAAAACCAGCTAGCTTCTGGGGCTTTGCTGGGTGTCCCATGGGGCTGGGGACAGTAGTGTGAACTGTTCCCAAGGTTCTTGTCTCAGCTGTTTGGGGGTCCAGGCACAGACACCTGCTCGGTCTGGGAGGGCAAGGAAGGGGAAGGTTCAGACAATAGGGTCTGTTCCATCTCATCCCAGTCCAGGCTGGGACCATCCCTGCAACACAGTGAAGTGGCACCATCCTCATTTATGCTTGGGCAGCAAGGGACACTGTCTTGGCAAGAGCTCCACCTCGAACACAGCTTGGAAACTGCCCCACTGGGGGTAATTGCAGCAAGGCCTGGGAAGGGCTATGGGTGCAGGTGAGGAAAGCACCAGGAACATGACTCAACCAAGTTGCAGTCCATTTCCTGTGGTTTAAAACAGCTCTTCCCACTTTTCAGTGTGACATGGGAAGGGCCATGCTAGGTCTGGCAGCATCCCGGGGACACGGGGATGGCTCAGTGTGAGCTTTTTGGTTTCAACCACTCATTAGCAAAAATAAAATCAACAATAGAACACGAGATTTTTATTTTCTGTTTATCCAGGCAGAGAAAAATGACTTCTGCCTTAGTAACATCGCTGTTCTGTACTCTACAGAAATGGGGTGAAATGTAGATCTGTGCTGGAGGGGTTGTTGAGGCTGAAGTACAGCACCGAGGAACCCTGAATGTTGCAGTGGTGACCCAGATGAGCTTGGTGTCACACATCACCCACCTGAGAGCACAGGTCTGGTGTCACACATGCTGCCCACCTGGGTGCACATGCTGAACGGGCAGGAGGTTGAGTGCTGCCATCTCTCTCGAGTTGGCATGCGCTTGTCCACACTTGAAGACAAAAGTATTTGTAAGCTGGATTTCTTGAAAGGAAGTCCTTCACTGCACTCCTTGCTTTAGGGGCTAATTTAAAACCCCATCAAGCTGCATTAGAGCACCTTTAGATTTTTCCTACTCGCTCCAGTGCTGTAGAAATAAAATAAACTCCCATCCTTGGACCTTCTGCAGCATTTTGTGACGGGAAGGGAGCCTGAGGGTTCGGATGGAGCGGGATCCGGTTCCCCATCCACCCCTTCGCTCGTCCCCGTTCCCAGCGCACGGAGGCGCTGCCGGGACCGCTCCGCAGCGTGGGGGCGTGGTCAGCGTCGAGGGGCGTGGTCACAGCGGAAGCCCCGCCCCCTACCGACCTTCGCCCGTATCGGTCGCACCGGGCCGGAGCCGCCGCAGGTAGGAGCAGGGTCCGTCTGGATGCGTGAGTGGAGGCGGGCACGTTCCGGGTGGGTTCTACCTTCTGACTTTAGGATTTGCTGCGTAATCCTCTGTGCATAGAAGGGAGAAAAGGGGTGAGTGCTGGGGGCCGGGAGGGGGAGAGGCGCTGCGTGGGGAAGAGCTGCCCCCGCGTGATGGTAAGGGCGGAGTCCCCGCTCGGAGCTGCTTTGTAATCTCTTGGGATATTTATTGGGTGCCACCCTATTGCGTGCTGACAGTGCTGCCCGTTCGTGGCTTGCTCCAAATTAATAAATATTCTGAAGGCTGATACGGCCGCTGTGGCCATCATTCTTTTATTTACTGGATTGTATTTAGATATTCTGTATTGTTTTTCAAAGAGGATAATCTGTTACGAAGCAGAACTGCTCTCCCTTATGTTTTGCTACACCTCGGCACTGGTTTTTATTGCATGTTTGATTTCGGCTTCATCCCAGGAAATCAGAGAGGGACCCTCAGACCACAAACGTCTGAGCCCAGAAACTCTGCAGCCCCATAGCGCAGGGCATGAGGGCTGCATGGATGTCCTGTGCCCATGTCTCAGTGTCACCTAGCCAGAATGAGGTTTCACAATGAGATGCAAGAATCCCAGAATGCTTGATGTTGGACCTCTGGAGATCATCCAGCCCAAGCTGCCTGCACAAGCAGGTTTTAGATTTGTGATAGCTGGAGTCCTCTTGGAAGGGGTGGAGTTTGTCTTCATTTGTGCTTGTGACTTTTAAGTCAAAGTGGGCGTATATAGAGAGAAAGAGCAGAGGATGAAGGAACAGACAGCGGTGTTTGAGATCAGGACAGTGGGTGGCTGTTGTGGCCTTCCCAATGGCACTTGCAACCCCATTAACTCCTCATGGCTAATAACAACTCCGCTCCTTCCTCTCGCCCTGTGCACAGGCTGTGGCCATGTCCTCACTGCGCTAGGCCTGTCCCCCCCCACCTCGAGGATGCGTGCCTGGAAGGCGGTGGCCAGCACGCTGGCGCTGAGCGGAGCCGATGTGGTGGTCACCACGCTGCTCTATGCCCACGGCCGGCGTGGTCGGGACATCCTTCAGGACCTGAGGCACTTCAACATCTTCAACTCGCTGCTGGACATCTGGGGGGGCTGTCTGTACCGTAGCTGTGTGCTGCTGGGGGCCGCCATCGGAGTGGCCACCAACACGGCCTATGGCCCCCGGCGCCTCAGGGCTTCGCGGACCTTCATTGCTGTCGTCTGCCTCCTCATGGGCATCTACATGATGGTGAAGCTGCTGCTCTACTCTGAGGTGCGGAGGACCATCAGGGACCCCTGGTTCTGGGGGCTCTTTGCTTGGACCTATGTGGCGTTAGTGGCCACCTTTGGGCTGTGGCAGCTGCTGGCCTGTGTCACATCTTCCCGTGAGGCGCTGGGTCATGGCTCTGAGTCCCGCACCGAGGCGGAGGAGAGTTGCGACGCCCCACGGGACAAGCGAGAGGAGGCAGCGGGACCCACCATCCATAAACTGCTGTCCTACACCAAGCCAGATGCCATCTTCCTGGGTATTGCTTCCTTCTTCCTCCTCGTGGCCGCGCTGGGTAAGTGAAGGAGCTGGAGGGGGCCATGGGATGCTCTGCTGTTCACTGGGAGGGGAGGAGCCATGTTGCTCCTTGGAAAAATGAGGGAAAAATTAAATGGGGCAAAAAAATGCAGTGGAGGATAAAATGCCACGGGAAATTAAACTTTTCCATTAGTTGCTAAGGTTCATGCCTTTCCGGTACATCTTGTGTGATGGGTAAATAACTCTGTGGTTGGGATGGAGGTTGACTGTGGGCTTTCATGGTTGGGAATATGAACCCGTGGTTGGATCCTGGACCCAACTGGTGTGTCTGTAACTCTTTGTCCTGTGCTTCTGCATCAGGAGAGACCTTCCTGCCCTACTACACAGGGTTGGCCATTGACGGCATTGTGGTGCAGAAGAGCATGGACCGCTTCTCCACGGCGGTGCTGGTCATGTCGCTGCTCGCCATAGGAAGGTAATCGCAGGGGTCAGAGCCCAGCAAGGATATATGACTGCTCTGTGCTCTTACAATGGTGACGGTCATGAGATCTTCCATGTCCTTCTGCCAGTGCTGGGGGAGCAGGCACAGGGGATGGGCTCCCTGGTGATCACTGTCCCTTCCTGAAGCTTGTCATTACTGTGATTAGGACCACCGTCCCTATGTTGTTAGCACCCGGGGGGGCATGGGCTGATTTAATCATTACTACCCAGGCTGGAAAGCGATACCAACACAGCATTGCCCAAGCCCTCGATACGGGCGCTGGTGTGTTTGTGTTGCTGAGGAGTGGGTTTCGTGTCCACCGGTCTATAACGTTTCTTATCTGCAATTAGCTCATTTGCCGCAGGTGTCCGGGGCGGCGTTTTTACGCTCATATTTGCGAGACTGAACATCCGCCTTCGCAACTGCCTCTTCAGGTCGCTGGTGTCTCAAGAGATGAGTTTCTTTGATGAGAATCGCACAGGTGGGTTCCTCTTTCCCCTGGGTTTACTCTATTCCAGCACGTGGTATTTTTCCCCCTTAGTTTACCTTCTCTCAGGCGCTTTTAGAGGTGGTGTCTAAATGCTCATGTTTAGATACAGCAACAGAAAGCTCTTCCCTTTGGGTGCTTTCTTGCCACAGGGATCAGGATTGCCCAGCACCTTGGGAATGCCACATTGCCTCCAAACAGCCTGATATCCAGCAGCTCCAGGGCTGGCATTTTTAACTCCAGTCATCTCATCCCCAAAATACTTCCATTTTTCTTCCTGTACCTCCCTTCAGTTCCCACTGACCAGCTGCCCTCCATCTCTGCTCCAGGCACTGGAAACCTCAGACATGTAAACCTCGCTGTGCATGCTTGTGGCTTTTCCTCCTTGCCATCTAGTCCTGTCCCCATCTGTCATTCTGATGTGGTCCCAGTCAGCTGCAACTTTTCCCATACTTAATTTCTTCTTGGCAATATTTTTAGTTTTGAGGCTGTTGCCATATTTAGCAGTTGCTTCCTGTTGCCCGGTTAGCTAAGGACACTGGATATGTTATTGTAAGTGGAATATGGGTAACTCTCGACTAATAGTTATGCAATAGCATGGGACTTCAGCCCTGGCTGCACTGGAACACAGGCCAAGTACTTAGAAATTCAAGGTGGCATTTGACTCCACTGCAGGAGCTTTGCCCTTAGTGGCTGCACTCACATCCTCCAGGTCACTTGGGTCTTCTCCAGGCTGCAGACACAGCTAAACCTCCTCTGCCCTCTCTGAAGCTGCCTGGCACTCTGTAGGGTGAGCTGTGCTAGGCATACTCCTGGTCCTCTGAGGACAGCAGGGAGAGTTGCCAGCAGAAGGCTGGTGGAGAGCTCCTGGCTTCAATTAAAAATGAACTGGAAGCTGTGTTCAGCTCAGCAAACACCCACTGGTGCACCCAGGTGGGATGCCCTCCAGGTACAGTGCAGAGCCAGTGCCCTGTGCTATCCTGCAGCCAACCTGAGCGACCCAAGGATGTAGCTCCTGCTTTCAGACAGGTTTCATGTTTTTTGCACGTGCAGCAATTTGAGCTTCTCTGCTTTGCTTCACATCCCCAACAGCAGCCATCCTCTTCCATGCCGCCCTGCAGACCCCGTCAAGGGGCTAGGTTGGATGAGGAGCTCCATCTGCCAGGAGACTGCTATACAGTCTGCGGGATGGGACGCGGAACACAGACAGGTGACGACCTGCCACAGTGACGTGTCCCTGCTCTCCCCTTCCCCAACCCTTCATTCTTTTAGGGGATGTCATCTCCCGCCTGACGTCGGACACAACCATCGTGAGTGACCTGGTCTCCCAGAACATCAACATCTTCCTGCGCAACATGGTGAAGGCCACAGGGGTGATCTTCTTCATGTTCAGCCTCTCATGGAAGCTCTCGCTTGTCACCTTCATGGGCTTCCCCATCATCATGCTGGTGTCTGACATCTACGGGAAGTACTACAAGGTAGGCAGGAGCAACTGCCATAACTGTGCCACGGTGCTGGCCTGTCCCCACTGTGGGAGTTACAGGTGGTTTTGGAGCTTGTTAGGTTGATACTCAAGTGCTTTGCTGCCTGCAGTATGGGCACGAGGGCAACATTACAACTATGTGGGCAGGTGGCACAAACTTGGTTGTCAGCTTCACACTCAGAAGCTGAAGTGTCTCAGGTCTGACATAGGAGGTAGCTTGGCTGTGCACTGTCCAATCTGTGCCTGCTTGTTCCCATGCCATCTGTCCTCTCCTCTCCCTTTGGAGTAAATTAAATTGGGGTTAAACCCAGCCCAGTGCTTCCTTCCTATGCCAAGGACAGTCCCTTGTGGCTCATGCTGTGTCCTGTGGACTGTGCAAGTTCCACACCACATGCTCTCTGTGCTGGTTGTTAATGCTGTCAGTAAGCACAGCCCTGCTTTCCACTGTCCCAAGGTCAGGGCTGTATCCCATCACTCAACCTTGGTGCCCATGGACTTGGAAAAGTCACTGTGCTCTCTCCAGAGCCTGTGGGAGAGCTGCCATGGGCAGCTTGGGCGTGTGTTGAGCACCCTTTGTTTCTGCTTCCCGCAGAAGCTCTCCAAGGATGTGCAGAACGCCCTGGCCAAGGCCAACAACACTGCTGAGGAGACCATCTCTGCCATGAAGACTGTCCGCAGCTTTGCCAATGAGGAGGCAGAGGCAAATGTGTACTGGCAGAAGCTGCAGCAAGTGTACAGACTCAACAAGCGGGAGGCCCTGGCGTACACCTACTATGTGTGGTCCAGTGGGGTAGGTGGCCTGCACCAGGGACTGGCAGGGGACATGGCTTCAGGTGTCAAAATGTGCACGGAGAGTTGTGTGTGCTGGTCTCAGGGAGCTTTGTGGGATGAGCCCAGCCTTGATGTCTGCTGCCCTCTGTCAAAAATATATTCCATCCTCCCTTAGGGGAGCATCACATCGTGGTGCTGAACAGTTTGTTTTCTCTTGTAAATAAGAATGGAATTGATAACTGCTCAAGGTCGTGGAAAACCTCATGTTGTCAGGCTGCTGCATTGCGTGCCTTTGCCAGCTCATCTCCGGCGGTTCCGGCTGGGAAAACAGCCACAGTGTTGGTTGAGATTCTGCTCAGAAGCAGAGATTTTCTACATGTGGGCGGTGGTGAAGGGAGGCTGCAGGTTTGTTGTTTGATTTAGGTTTTTTTTGCAAAATGTTTTTTTCTTTGCTGAGAACAGATGGTTTGGGGCTCCTCTTGTATCTGCTGCTAACTAAGGCTGTGCAAAACCCTCACGTGGGGCTTTCACCCTGTGCGTTTAGGGATCCAAATAGCTGCTGTTGAGAATTGTGTGGGTTATGCCTTCATACAGCTGCAGGAGGCTTATGTGCTGACAGCAAGTTCAGAGCATTGTTAGCATTGTTCCTGAGCATCCAGGTGAAGCCAGCAGTGGGAACTGGGACAGAATGGATCCCACTGAGTCAGAAAAGGCAAAACTGCTCCTGTGGGGCTTGTGTAAAAAGAAGCTGACAGATATAGCACAGCCCTAGTGGAGTCTCTCTCAGAGAAAACAGGATCTTAAGGTCAGATCTTGGCAGAGAGAAAGAAGAGGAACTTTTTCCCCTGTTTTCTGTCTGTGTCAGCTCATAGCCAACAGCCCTTCCCACTGACTGTGATCCCAGCAAACTCCGGGCACTCATGTCACCCTGTGACAGGCAGCCTGTATGCCAAGTGTTGCATGGAGCACTGGGCACTGCAGAGGGTGAAACATCAAGATCACATCAAGGCTGGTCTGATATCTTTGCTGAGTAGGTGGTGCCCCCATACACTAATTTCAAGCAAGAGTTGAGGTTATCCTTCAGAGACTTGTATACACAAGGAGGACTTGTGCATTAGCTTTTGGCTTGGCTCTGTGCTCTAAATTAAAATGTGTCATATAACGCAGAGGTTATTTTAGCGGTGAGGTGACTGTATGTGTTGGATAATTTGAGTGTGGGTTATGCTAGTCCAAGAGACGTCCATGAGATGCTCTGTTATTTCAGATAAATCTGTCTTCCTTCACTGCTGCCACTCCAGACTTGTATTTTGTTGAATTCCTTCAGTCAGCCCAGCTAACCAAGTTGTTTTTCCCTTCTCATACCCAAGCCATGTGCTGACAGGAATGCTGGGTTTGGGGCTCAAAGAATAAATACCAGCTGCTGAATTGCAGTCTCCTGTGTGAGTAACTACAATTGCACTCGAGTGTTATCTGTCCTTGCTGATTTTGGGCTGTTTGCTTGCTTTCAGCTCACCCTCCTGGTGGTCCAGGTCAGCATCCTGTACTATGGAGGGCACCTTGTGATCTCTGGGCAAATGACGAGTGGAAACCTGATATCCTTCATCATTTATGAGTTTGTCTTAGGAGATTGCATGGAGGTGAGTTTGTTTGACCATTGCAGGCAACCCCGTATCACAGTGTTTGACTTCGAGATGATCTCAACCCCTGCAGTCACAGGACTGGAGCCAGTGTTGCCTTCCCTACCACCTGCTGTGGCTTTGCCCATCTGCAGTCTGATTCTCCCCTCTGCTTCCTGCTCTGTTTCTACCGTGACCCCATGAATACAACCACTGCTAACACCTTGACACTTGAAGGCATCTGAAGCACCTCGTCACAGATAAGACAATCAGTACTAAAAGGGTTGGGCTACCCCTGCTGAAGGGGAGAGTCCTGGCTGCCTTCCAAGCATGTTTTCTGGTGTGAAGGATGCAGAGATTACGTGGCTGCCTGTTCAATTTCAGAATTCATTAAGAGCTTAATTATATTACGTTTTTTAACTCTCCCTGGAATAGGCTGCAAGCTGCTGCATTGGCAACGCATTAGCAACTTAGGATTGTGGGTGGGATGGGAGCCCACTCAGGGCTGCTTTCCCACTGCAAAGGCGTAAGCCTGGCCAACTGAAGCAGAAATTAGCAAGTCCAGATTTCCTCACAGCCATGCCTGGTTTCAGTGCTGCTTCATCCTTGGTGCAGCAGCACAGCAGAGCTGGAGGCAGCTCACCCAGCTCTCACCATCTGTGCTGATAGCTACAGGCTTTGGTGGTGTTTCCAGGCTATAGTTTGGGTGCGTTTGAGCCACTTACAGTACAGGCTGTTCATCGGTTCTGAGTTTAGCACTGAAATTAGCCAGCAAGATGGAGGCTATTCCAGCAAAGCTAGTGTCAATGTACAGCAGTTCTAGTGGGAGGAAGTACAGTAGATCCACTGGGATCATATTCCTATGGGGAACAGCCATACCAGCTGCCTAATGGTGGTCTAGAAAGGTCCAACCTGAGGCTGCTTTGTGTATGTAACGTGTGTGCTAGGGGACAAACCAGCAGCGCATTGTCGTATACAGATGCATTCAACCTTTGGATTGGGGAGCTGCTGGTCTTGAGCAAAGAGACATGGGAAAAGATTACAGTAGAAGTTTGGGTTATGTATCTCTTGACACACCTCTTCCCAATCCATCTATTTACTTCTTGTATTCCCATGTCTACCCATGCAAAAACCCCTTTAGATTATGTTTCCTCTACCTTGGGCAGGGGCAAAAGTTCTCTTTTTCTGTCTCATAACCATAGTTAACATCAGAGAGTGCTTCAACTGTTCTCCTTATAAGTAGTTCCAATTGCTATTTCCATAATGAGATGGTCTAACCATTGCCTCTTCCCTTCCAGTCTGTGGGCTCTGTCTACAGCGGCCTGATGCAGGGGGTGGGCGCAGCCGAGAAGGTGTTTGAGTTCATTGACCGCAAGCCAACAATGGTCAACGATGGGTCACTGGCCCCAGACCATGTGGATGGAAAGGTGGAGTTCAGAAATGTGACATTCTCTTACCGCACTCGTTCCGCAACGCAGGTCCTCCAGGTGAGCCCCACTGGTGCAGAGCATTCCTTACCACAAGGCAACTTGTGATGTTTCTCCATAATGACCATAACCAATCCTCAACCTGTGGGGAAGGTCATTTGCCCTTTTTGAGATGCATAAAGGCAGCCTCAGCAGCATGCTGGCAAGCAGATTACAGTGATCAGCAGGTGTTTAGGGCTGGCTTTCCTTACAAAGAATTAGATTTATTAATAAAAACCTTGTTCCCAGCTCAGATGTTAAACACGTCAGCATGGTGCAGGGCTTTGTGCCAAGCTGTCGCAGGCTGCTTCCACGTGAGAGAGGCTGAGGTCATGGGGCAGGGTGAGCAAGCAAAGAGGTTGGTTGCTTTGCAGTTTTTGGAGGTCCTGCTGCACAAGCAGGAAAATTCATAGCAAAATGTGGAGGCTTTATGCTTCCTCAGAGGGAGCTGAGAGAAGAAAACAGTTAGTCTTTTGGAGGTGAGATGGCCAAAGCAGCACACCAGAGTGGTTGGTTGGGGGGGATCTCCTTAGCCATCTTTTGGTCACCTCTCCTGTGCAGTGCTCAAGCCACTGCTCCAGGACCCTGATGAAGGCCAGCACCTGAGCACATTCTCCCATCCATGTTGCAGAACGTGTCCTTCACCCTGCACCCTGGCAAAGTGACAGCACTGGTGGGCCCCTCAGGGAGTGGGAAGAGCTCCTGCGTCAACATCCTGGAGAACTTCTACCCTCTGCAAGATGGGCAGGTGCTGCTGGATGGGCGTCCCATTAACATGTACGATCACAAGTACCTGCACTCAGTGGTACGAGCGACTGATAAGTGTATTCTAGCTATCACTTGCTGTGGTCAGAGGGGATGTTGGCAGCGTTGTATATGGCTGTGGGTTTGATCTGGAAACCTCTGAAGTGCCCAGAAAGCTGGAGGTGGTCTGGGAAACGAATTCAGATAATTTGGGGTGGGAGCAGAAAGGAAGAAGATGATGATTGGTTTTAGGGGAAGGGGGAATTCTGCTGAAAACAGAACAAGAAATGTGTTTTGTTTTGTACTTTTTTGGCCAACCCAAAAGGAGTACAGTTTCAGTTGTTTGATTATTGATAGTCTCAGTTGGTTTTGGAAAAAGTGTTTTACATTCCCACAGAATATTCTACCTTAAAATCTATCTATAAAATCTATAAAATCCTATCTTAAAATCACTCTCAGATTGTGAGGAGTTAAACTACTTGGAATTCTGGAAGCAGCAGAGGAGTGCTTTATCCAGGCCTCTAGCTCTGTCTGTGTGTCAGCACAGATCAGCCTCCATCTTCCCTGCAAGTAACTGCCCACTTTGTTTGCCCCCAGAGTGAATGGCCTCAGGAACAGCAGGAAAACCTGAAAACAATTGATCAGAAGCAGGCTGGAAAGCCAGAGTCAGTGTGACTAATTGACATTCCCTGCCAGTGCTGAGTGAAAATTAAAAGACAAGCAAGTCTTTCAGCTTAGCAAGCCTGGTGTCGTGCTAGGAGCATGGGGAGAAGTCAATTAAAATATGACCGTATCCTACTGGTTCTCTCCACGTCCAGTTCTAAGCAATAATTTGGAGGGTTCAATTTATTTCAATATAGACTGTTTAACAAAGCAGGCTGAATTCAAGAGTGAGCAGCAATGTCTGTACAGTAGCACAGGGAGGCTGTTGCTAAGCAATTAAGGAATTGCAACAGCTCTTAGCTTCCTAATTTGCCTCAAGCAGAGAATTGGCAAGACTGGGCAAAGCTCCCTCCAGCCTGCATTTTCCCTGCAACTGGTTTTCCATACTGAGAAGTGCAAGGAGTTTTGGGAGTTCTGGGTCTGGAGCAAAACCACAACAGGGACCTGGAGTGGGGAGCTCATCCCAGGTGCCAACATACCAACATATCACACATTTCCTTTTCTGCACAGCAGCTTCCAGCAGACAACATAAAGTGGACTGGGACCACCACTGGGCAACTAGCAGTGTTGCTGGAAGCCCTCATTGAGGCATTTCTGTGCCTTGGTCCTTACCTAGTGGGAACAAATGCTGATAATCTGAGATGCTGTTTGGCCAATCTGTCTTCTGCTCCCAACCCACTGCTCTTCCCTTCCTTTCTGCAGATCTCCCTGGTCAGTCAAGAGCCAGTGCTGTTTGCTCGCTCTATTGCTGATAATATTTCTTATGGCTTAGCTTCAGCCTCCTTTGAGTCGGTTGTTCAGGCTGCCCAGAAAGCTAACGCACACGCCTTCATCACGGAGCTGCAGGATGGCTACCACACAGGTACCAACAGCCCTCTGTTTGCACCAAAAGCATTCTGTTCTGAGGGAGACATGAGAAGGTAGGGGCTTCTCCTCACTGTTGCTTCAGCTGTGCTGCCTCCAGAGCCCGTCTTACAGCGATACAGCCAAAGGGTCAGCACAAGAGAGAAGTCGGGGCTTGGATGATCTCTCAGTCTTAGTGACTTCTTGCTGTGGGTCCTTCCATGTGCATCAGTCCCTCGCACACTGGGACAACAGCGGAGAACTTTCTGCTGGAGGGAAGGACTGCGGCCTTGGAGGTGTTTAGTACATTTAAACTGCTTTGTTAAGTGAATAAACAGAATACCATTTGCCTCATCTTTGCTTCAGAGCATTATACTGTCCTGGTGTTGTTGGCTGGGTGCTGAATTTAATGGCAGTTTTTGGTTTTTATCTTGACTGCTCCTTCTCTCTCTTGATCCAACAGAGGCAGGTGAAAAAGGAGCTCAGCTATCAGGTGGCCAGAAGCAGAGAGTGGCTATTGCCAGAGCCTTGATCCGAACCCCTCCCATCCTAATCCTGGATGAAGCCACAAGTGCACTGGATGCAGAGAGTGAACATGCGGTGAGTGGGGGACTTGTGTGTCTGGGCTGAAGAAGCAGTCTGGGGTTGGAGGAAAGGTTACAGCTTCAATTTCTAGCCCATAGACAAACTTGCAGTAGGGAGGAGTACCCGAGCTAAAATCTGAACTAAAGCACCAAACAAGCCATGCTGAACCATGGTTTATCTGGCTGGGATGTGATGACCAAACAGTTCTACCAGTAGTCTCCTTTGGTCTGGTTAGTTCATTGGCACAATGAAAAGCTGGTTCAAAGTGCTGGCATGAGGACAGGCCTCCCAGTGCTAGAGGATGAGTGCTGCACAAGTGTGATCTCAGAGCAGTTTGTGGGCTTGCAGGATGGGGTGAGGCTCTTCAGCAGGGCTAGCGCTACATGGCCTCCAAAGTTGCACCCCAGCTCTAACAAGAGCTCAACACACAAGATCAGGCCTGTCACTTTACTACTCTGTTACCAGCAGTTGGAGGGGTGCATTCCCCATCTGAAGGCTGGCTGCACTGAGGGAGAATTTGGGGCTGCACAGTGAGATGGATGGCCATAGGGTTTCAGGGGGCCCTGCTTTGTGTCCCCAGCATAACCAGAGGAGAACAAACCTCCTGTCCAGAGATTTCTTAACTCGGAGCCACCAAGCTGCTCTCTTCCCCTCCCAACACAGTGCCAGCGATGCTCATGCACTAACATCTTTTCTTCCCTCAACAGATTCAGCAGGCGATTTACGGTGACTTGCAGAACCACACAGTGCTTGTCATAGCACACAGGCTGAGCACTGTCGAGAAGGCACACAACATCATTGTGCTGGACAAGGGCCGCGTGGTGCAGCAGGGCTCACACAAGGAGCTCATGGAAGAAGGAGGTCTTTATTCCAAGCTGGTGCAGAGACAGATCCTGGGGCTCGAGGCGGGTAGCGCAGACAGCCGCCAACCCACAGCCCGGGGGGATTCAGCGAAGGCGCCCGGCGGGCTGGAGGGAGAGTTCAGGATAGACCATTCCCTCCCAGCTGCAGCACAGGACGACTGCAACAACACAACTCCTAAGTGAGAGCAGCGAGGGCTGGGGCTGGAGACGCATGCTGGGACGCAGCGCAGGAGGTGGCTTCCCGACGGCGCCGCGCCGCACAACGTGCCCGTCTGCTCATCCTGCGTGCGCCGCGCACCTTTGCACACACACAACCACACACTATAGAGCTTCCTGCATTACTGCCCAGTGGGCAGATGCCTGCTGGTTAAACAGGGAAACACATTTGGGAGTTGGGTCTTTAGCAATTCCCAGCATTTCTACCGAGTTTCTTTTCTTACTACCAGTAATTCCCCACAACTGGGACTTTTCTTCCATTGATATGCATGTGTAACTGATATTAACTGTAATGGATGTAAAATGCATGCACGGAGGGGAAATTCCCCTCCAGGAATTCAGGGGGTGGCTCTTGTAGCCAGATAGAAAAGCAGCGACTGGAGAAGGTCCTGCTCCTGCTGTCGATCTGTGGAGCCAGTCTGAAGTCTGCAGGGATCTCCCTTTGGCTTTAGTGAAAACTGGATCACTCTCTTGGGGCTGAATGCCAGGAGAGTTTTGCACTGAGTGCCTGCAGGCTCAGGTTCACAACCACAGCTGCTGGACTTGTTTCATGTAGTAACCATCCTTTGTGGAATAAGCCAGGGGACCAGGAGGCAGGTGTTGCATTTAGATTTGCTCGTGGTGCTTGGTGGGTATTTGGTTTTGTTTTTAAGGATGAAGAGTTTTACCCTAATTGGGTTAGGGTGAGGTGGTTTGGTTTGGTTTTGTTTTCTTATATTTCCATGTGCACTACACAATGTCTGTCTGGCTCCAGCATCCTCTCAAATTTAGTCTGTTATTTCAGTATTTTTTTATATCTCACAACCCTGGTGCTGGTTTGAAAAACACTACTAAAGACAGGCATAAAATACTAAAAGACAGCACTTTATAAATCCCACTGAAGCTTTGTTCAGCTTCAGGCAATGCTACTGACTTCATTGCATGGGAAACCCATACAGTCACTTTCCTTGAAGTCAAACTTCCTCTGCCTGAAGTTGAAAATGTATTTCTTTGAATACTATTTATTAACTTTGAGTAAGAGTGAAAGAAAGAAAGCTGTTGCTCCTAGCCCTTGTGCATAATGGCTCTGGCTTTGTAGTTTTATCCTGCCATAGATTAGTGGTGAAGCTTATGCAGGCAGGCAGATGCTATTGAAAAATAGCATTGGATTTTATATGGGAATGATTGACTTAGAATGTGCATCGTTAAGAAATTATCTCAAGCACTTTAGCTCTCATGTTTTCCAATATTTGAATGCTGCTTTGTTTTCCTTTTTGGCAGTTTTGTTGTTGGTAACGTTTTGTTTTTGCTCAGTAATGTTTTACAAACTCTTTAGTGTCCTTGAGGAGGGATGCTCAAAAGAAAAATAAAATACTACCTCTGCCACTAAATACTGAGCCCCAGTGGGGGCTGTGTTTTTGCATTCAGAATATCTGGAACTTCAAGGTAACGTTAATCTGGGGGTGATAGACAGACACCCTGGAGGGGAATAAAAAGAACTACCTACAGAGAATTGGGTTTCTAACAGCTGTGAAACACTAAGAATAACCTATTCAAGAACTCGTTTTCATCCCAGATCCCATCTGATAGTCAGTCTCACACAAAAGGACAGGCTGTATAACCTGTTGTCAAAGCACAGTGCTCTGTAGCTGAAGTCTTTTTAGCTGCTTGCTTTTGTGATATGATGAAAAGCTGTGCCTCAGGAAGAGAGCTCTCTTTGGCTTATCTCCCTCAATTTAGGAGGGAATCACAATCCGAAGCCTAGTTTGAGTCATTCATCATTCATCGCTTCCCTAAATGGCCAGTATATTTCTGCCTGATGAAAATCTTTATTGTGGGTATGAAGAGCTTGGAGATTCCACCCAGCACCAGAGGGCAAGCAATTAAATCTGCATTCTTATCAGTAGCTGTGAGCAGAATGCAGACAGTGGTTTGCAGAAGTGGAATTGATTGCTGGTTAATTGGAAAAAAAAACTGGGGGGAGGGAGGGAATAGGTAACCTGGGAATGAGGGAAGCCAGCACCTGGGAAGTGCTGTTAGGACAATGCTTGTGTCGACGTAAGATGGCAGAAAAGAGGAGATCCTGTCATGTGTGCCCCACCAGGCAGTGCTGCAAGAAGGGGAGTTGAAGGATATGCAGGGATTAGTTTTATTGCAAAGGCTACAGGAAATTTTGAGAAGGGATCCCTGCTTCCCAACCCCGGTGTGCCAGTAATCCCAGCACTGTACTCCAAAATCCAAAAAGCTTCAACTGAAATGACATACAGAAAGAGCAGCTTGTCTCTGCTAGTGGCTCCAGGCCAAGCTGATAACAGGAACTGATTTTGTGCATTGCTGCGGGTGCTGAATTCTGTCTTTTGCATCCAGATAACTCAAGGCTGCTTTTCCCTTGAGCTTTACAAGTTATTTTATTGTTCTGTTGGCATGTGACAAGTGGATCTGCGTGCATGCCAAAGCTATGAGGGTTTTCCATCCAGCAGTACTTATCTAATGCAAGCATTTCTGCTGGCCAAACCAGTACAAATCCTGTGACTACTGAAAATCCTGCTTTTCAAAATCATTCCAGATTTCTTTTTATGATGGGTCTCCCCTACCTCACAAATCTGCCACCACCTCAGAATATGTCTGTGATGTGATAACTGGGGTCAGAGGTGCCTGTTGGCCAAACTAAGCCCAGCAGTGAGGATGTGCTTACCTTGGTGCAACAGTGGCAGTTCCTTTAGTGCTGGAACCTGTTTGCTGCAAGTCTTTGGGCCACACTGTGGGCAATCTGTACAGTCTGGAAATAAGGCCACTGTTCCCTCTGAAAGCCTGCAGTGCAGTATTTTATGGCTGTGGGTTTGCCCAGAGCTGATGTTTACATGGGAACATGAAAAAGACTGTTCAGGCACTTACTGATGACAGTGATGCAGATAAGTTTCTTCTCAAAGGGAACTCAGATGGGTTTATCTGAAACCTTAGCTTGTGGAGTGCACCTTGACGACTGTCATGGCAGAGCTGGAAACAGTGAGTCACCTGACAGCATACATGACTGAAAAGGTTGACTCTGTGCTCCATACAGGTTGTTTTCCACACTGTTAATAAGCTTAAACCATTCTCTAATATGTCTAACCACAGATTTATTAATTATTAGAGAGCCTTATCCAAGATAAAGTTCAAGAAAGGATCCTGTAATTCATACAGCCAGAGACTGATTTGATTTAAACATTGGAGAGCCTTATCCAAGACAAAGTTCAATAGTAGATCCTATAGTTTCAGCCATCCTCCAAAGACACACGTTGACCTTTGTACCTTTGCACAGATGAAGTGTGTGGCTGAGTGACCCAGTAAACTGAAACGCAGCGTGATGGAAAAAAACACAGCCATGTTTATTTCAGCAGCTCATCTCCCGGTGCACCAAACTCTGCCTCAGTATGCAGTTGTGTGTGTTTCAGTGGCTGGGCTTTCTAGGCCTTTGGCAGGTCTGGAAATACCACAAGCAAATACTCAGAGTGTTTCCAGTTCAGGTTCAGAGCTGCATCTTAGTCTGCCCTTTCTGCTCTAGCTTTACTGTGAGCCCAAGGAATGCAGATGCAGGTATAAAACCTGTTTCTCTTTTCATGCCTGTGGATTCCAGAGCGGAAAAAGCACTGACAGTTAATTCTTGCTCTTTCCAACAGAACTACTCCTTCTCTTCCAGAATGCTGAATATGCAGGTCTTTCTCATATGTGAAGGAATTTAAATCATAAAATCTAGACAGAAACATGGACTTCAAAATAAAAGGAAATTAAATTGCAAATAAGCCTGAGAACTTACCTAACTATTGAGCAACCAGTCTAATAAGGGTTAATAAACTCCAAAGATTAGACTTGCAAATTCAGTCTCTACATAACCAACCAGTTTTTCCAGGAAAAGGAAAGAAGTTGTTGTGAAGGTGACTTGCAAAATATGTTTAAATATAATAAATATGCATACACATAGGGCTACTGACTGTAAAAGAATACGAGATGACAGAACAAAATCCAGGATCAGATTTAAAAAGAAAAAAAAAAGAATCTAACATTTAAATTAAACTGGGCTGGATGCCAGCTCTCCCCATGACTGAAGCCTGACTCCTTATTAATCATGACATGTCTTCCACTGTAGTGTTCTGAATGTTTTTTGTTCTACTTCTCCTCTAATAAGAAATCACAACTTCTGTACTTTGCCTTCTTTCATTTTTAATGTTTGTGAATACTGTCACCTTTTGAAAGGGTTTTAGCAAAAGTAAAGAGGATTCAGGGCTTGGATAAATCTGATAAATCTCAGATATACTCTGTTATTTGACGATCCCTGTGGCCAAAAATCCTGCTTTATCTTCTATTCTTCACATTCTGCCCAAGTGATGAGCTGCCACAAAACCTTTCAAGAAAGCTGCTGAGTTGAAAGCCAGCTTCCAACCTGCCCAAGTAGAATACATATTCCAAAGCAGCTGACCTTTATTTTGTCTCTCAACTTCAGTTGCTTTTCTGGCCAAACTCGCAGGTGCTGATCAAAGTACTGACAAGCACCAGATGTTCAATACTGACACTCCTCTCCAACATCTCCAGCACCCAAACTTACCTGCATAGACACGTGTGTTTTCAAGATTTGTTGTACTTGAGCACAAATAAATTATGTTTTCCTTGTGCTATGTTTTGTCAAGACTTCATTGTTCTACGATGAGACTCTTAACTAATTTAGTACTTATTACCATTGACAGATTCAAATAATCTATTCCATAATAACTAGAGCAATAAAACAGAGCAGATCCCCTTAGAAGATCACTGCAATACTGAACCATCTTTCCTGACAGCATGTTGACAATGCAGTAATAACAATGATAACAATACCCTTCCCCAGAGATACTCACCCTCAGTACCTCTGGAAGCATTACTCAGCGTGAGCTCCCCCTCTCCACCCTCAGTGTGGGACTGAGCAGTTATTATTAATTTTCATTTTAGGCAAAAGGCCTATGGTTAAGAGAAGCTGACAGCATTCAGGATCACACAGAAAGGCAGTGGCAAGACTAGATTTACAACATGAAGCTGAGTCAGACTCTTCTAAACCACACTCCCCCATGCCAATTATCTAGCTATGTTATGCTAAAATCATCCTTGAGAAGAAGGGCTTTCTTTTAACTCCTCAACTAATTCCTGTTTATATATGTGTGCATATGTGTATTTGTATGTGTGCACAGATGTACAGAATGGGATAACAGCAGAGTGTGACTGCACTTTTGACAGGCATGTGCAAACACACTGTATGACATCATGTTGGCATTGCAGCTATCTCCTGGTTTAAGCATCAAGGTCAGGCTGTGAAAACTCATGTCACCACCAAGGGGTACAGCTGCTTACTAATCTTTGCCCTGAGGAAAGCACCCACATGAGGAACAGCACAGCATATACCACAGCACCACGTGGGCATGCTGACGTGGAGGAACGGACACATGCCCATATCTCTAATTGTGTTCTCCCCACCCTCAGCAAGCATAGCTGCCAGGTGCACGGGTCTTTCCTACCTGCCTCTGGGTGTGCTCTACTTGCAACACACTTGGATGAACTGTGATGAATTGCTGGTCCTAGGACCTGTGGGATAACAGACAGCTGAGTTTAGTGGCAGGACAAACCTCAAATATACAGCTGTCATGTCTTCATTCAGGTCTGCCAGGAGGTACTGGGTCTGAATGAGACTCATGTCATTATAACTAGATAGGATTACAACAGAGATTGATTCAGTTTATGGTATGATTTTTCAGTTAGATCAAAAATGCTAAATACCAAGGATAGTGCCACACAGCCATTTCCTATCCGGCTCCTTTGGCTCATCCTGGTTCTCTCTGCAGTCACACATATGGGAACCAGCACACCCACAATCAGCCACAGAACCAGTGCAGGAGGTGGTGTGTGCCCAGAAATGCATGCAATCTCAGCTACGCTAACACAATTAATTATTTCCAGGCATAATTGTATGCATCAGCCATGCTATCATCAGCGGTAATTGGAGAGCTGCTGCTCCCAAGTGTTACCACAGAGCACACAGCAAAGTGGTGATGATATGCACTTTTGCAGGTGTAGATTCACTGAATCATTCGAGTCGGAAGGAACCTTTAAAGGTCATGTAGTCCCACTGCCCGCAGTGCACAGGGACACCCACAGCTCCATCGGTGCTCACAGCCCCGTCCCCTGACCGTGGCTGTGTGCAGGGATGGGGCACCACCACTCCTCTGGGCATCCTGTGCAGTGCCTCATCACCCTTCTTATAAAAACGTCTTCCTTTTAGCCAGTCTAAATCTCCCGTCTTTAAGTTAGAAGCCATTTCCCCTTGTCCTTTCACAACAGGCCCTGCTAAAGAGCCGTCCTTCCTCTCTCACAGCCCCATCAGACAGGC